GCTAATGTTTCAATAGTAAATTACTGACATAAACTGATTGAAAAAGGAACCCGAGTAAAAAAAAAAAAAATACTGATACAGGGAACTTAATTGTGTTTGAAATAATTTATGAATTGAAGTGCAAAATGCTAGAGATCATAAAACAATACTCCATATTAAGTAAGAGACTAGTGCATAGCACAGGAAATCTGCACCAGGAATTAATGACTAAAAGTAACATTTTAAGTTTGAACATTGAACAAAGAAATTCTTATACAGTATATGAATGAGGGAGATGATGACAACGATGAAGTGGTGGTGATACTGTACTCTGAAAACCGACAAGGTAACCTTCTTCCTTAAAGACCACAGTTAACTAAACATAAATAAAGAAGAATACACCTCTATACAGTATAAGAAATCCTACAGATGAAAGTGCTAAGAACTGGGTTAGGTCACATGAAAGAGAGTCAAAATCAAAAGAAAGAGACAAGACAAATATGCAACCTCTGACCGAAGTATAATCATTGTTTAATCTGGATTCAAGAGACCCCCCACCCCCACGAGAAAGATTTAGACCAAGTTATTCTTGAAAAACAAAAGAAAAAGGAACAATTGTAAAGCAGCCATATAAATGCATAAAACTCACATTGAAGTTTATAATTCTTCCAGGGGTGCACTGCTCATTACCAATATTTAAAATCAAAGCCTACAAGGAGTACAGTACTTTAGTCAATACAAGTTGGCAGCAAGCCGAAGCCGAATAAAATATGGGGATTAAAGTTTGTAACTGTAAGTTTATAACTGAAGAGTTGAATCAAAGAGTGTTAGTTACCAAGTTTGCCCATTCCTGTGTATAGTACCTGATTGCTTGTGAGCTTTGAAAACAATCACTGGATCAGGGGCAAGATAACCTTGTAAACCCAGTTCAACTGGGCAAGTAGCTGCTTATGCAGTAATTTATCCTGATCTGAGAGGACAGTGTACCAGCCTTGTGGAGCATATTTAGGTCCCAAGGAAGGGCAAGATCTGCCAGGGTGTTCTAATGTGAAATTTTAATACAATATTACGTATCAAATGACTTGTAAGCCAAAAAAGAGCTTTTCACCTGTCAGTACATAAGATTCTTTATCAATTTAAACAGCCAATAAAAATATAAACAATCTTTAACTTTGCTTTAAAAAAGCACGTTTACACAGTTATATTTCATAACCCATGCATAGTCCTTCTTCAGATACTGTTGCTTTACATTACACAACAATAATTTCAATCAAACTATAACACACTATAATCTAATCTTCAAATACATTATCTAAACCAGCATACTAATTAAAAGTTAATTTGTATTGATGCACAATGTACTAAACAATGCCATGGAACTTGCTAAATTTCATTCGTTGAGTAATATTTCTAAGTTCAAGGCAATTAATTAGTCTGAGATAAAAGGTGGACAATTTTCAGTGAATGAAAACAAAACAAGTATTAACCACTTTATATCAAAAGTGTAACATACAGCACTTGTTGATAACATCCCCATTATTTTTAATTTGTGTAGTGTTAGTCTATTGAGAAGCTAAAATCATTCCTGGCTGAGTATTTTTACCGATCAGTAAGGCAACTGAGATTATTAAAAATGTCATTTGGAATTACCTACAGATTCAGGGACAACCTAGAAACTTTTTATCTTAGAAACATTTGAACTTTATAACCACATTTTGGCAAGCCAGCTTTACAATATAAAACAACTATAGCTTCTTTGTACTTGGCAATTCATTGTGAGTGGCTGACAAGATATTCACTGCTGCCTTTACTCAACAAGATGCACTGATATATAATACACTCACGACCTAATATACTGTAATAACTAATGACAAGTTCTTTTCTCTTCCCCTGTACTTGTAAGCAAATATTGTCTTTCTAATGCAACCAAGACTGCTGATACAAAAAGAAACAAAGTAAGAACAATAAATAAATGTGTATGTGTGTGCACTGCCAAACAGTAATGCATTTTAGTACTGTAGTATAACATTCAAGATGGAATGAATAAAAAATATCTTCAGATAATTGACTTGATGCTCAACATGAATACATATGGTGGCCATAAAACATAATTAACCAAAGTCACCAAATTTTCTTATATAAATGTCTGTAATATACAAAGTAGATTTTCATAAATGAAACAGAGACTGCCATATCCGAGAAGGAATTATCATTATGTAAATAAGCAAGTGCAATGATCTAGAGCCACATAAAGACATCCTGACATCAGTACCTATCATCCACAAAAGCCCTAATCAATGGCACATAAATAATCCTCTATATTATACACCATAAGTCATAATAATAGAATTTCAGGTAATCTTTGAAGCTTTATATACATACTACATACATACAGAGGGTCCCCAACAAATGAACGCCCGCTGATACGAATGGGGGTAAACTTTAAATTTACAGGTAGTTCTGCTATAACGCGATAATTGTGTTCTTGTAAAATATCGTGTTATAGAAAATCGCGTAATAGAAATAACAGGGCTTATGGAGAAAATAGGGTTAGGTGCAGATTACTCGAAATCGAAAAAATTTAGAAGTTAGCCTAACACAAAGGATAGCACAGTCTAAATAAATGTTACATTCATATCTAATACTGAAATCATACAGTAAATGTAACACTTTACCTTGAAAAAATATGAATGTAACTTGATGGGGGAGAAGGGTGATTTTGAGGTTGATAACATCAAGCTTCTCTTCAAGTGTTATATCCTTTCTTTTACGATAATCACCGGGAATTTTATCATCAGAACGCTTTTTGGAGATATTCTTCTTTACCATATTGACAGTTAATACCACAAAATTGGAGAAATAGTAAGCAAAAATCGCGTTATAGCAAACAAGCGTTCGCGTTATACAAATATTGTTCCGAATTCATAAATCGCGTTAGAGCAAATTCGCGTTATCAAAACACGCTTTATAGCAGAACTCACTGTACAGTACAGGTACGTACTCTATTTTATTTACACGATGACTTAATTTTTACTTTCGTTTACTGTGTTTTGTCATTCTATTTCTTCTTTTCTCTTAAATTAAATTATTTTAGATGTATATAAGGACTTAAGCTATGCTATAGTGGGATTTTAAATAATTTTCTGTAAGAACAGTATGCACGTCCTCAGGAACGGAACCCATTCGTAACCCAGGGACCCCTTATCTATACATACATACATACATACATACATACATACCCTGCATCACAACAAACACCATAAATATGTAGTACAGGGGGGGGGACCAATAATGAAATAAAAAATTTAAGAAAAAGACATTAATGTGAATATCAAATATTTCATAGCAAAGTATATGTGAAGCAACATGAGGAAGAACGATGAGGGATATTCTCTATTACAGCCATAAACTTGCACCAGTTCTACTACCTTCTCATTTTGGTGATTCTTTGATAAGGCTACAGGTATAACTTTTGGAGAGTATCCAATCTTCACTCAGTACTGAACAATTAATATTGAAATTAATTTTATTTCTTTTGAATTGTAACCTTCCTCAGGTGGAGCAAACTAAACAAACCTTGGCTAATTTTTCAAACTTCTCTTAACCACCAAAAAATATTTGCAATGTTTAATGTTGCAGTACAGTATTTAAAATAGTTCAAATCCTCAGTATCAATATGTGGCCTCAACTGTGAACATTATGCACTTTTTATCCATTTCTCTGAGCAATCACAAACATTTCAATAAGTACCCACTTCATAACCATTCATACTTCATTACTAAATAATATGGACCATTACTTCAAAGAAATTTATGAACTTAGAAACATAAGCATTGAAAATCAAATACCTCTGTAACTCTACTGTGTACTCACACTGTGGGTCAACACATGAAGCATTGGAAATTAAAGTTTTAGCTTTAGAAACAATTAATTAGAAATACGTACTGTAATTATTAATGTACAGTACTGTATTTGTAAAGACATACAATATTAACCGTGATACAAAAGGAGGAAGTTTTACCACTGGACCAATCTCTAGGTAGGGAATTATCTAGAAAAATAATAAACATTAAAATACTGTACAATGAAACTTCTCAGATTCAGAGTTACAGCCTGGGATGACTTGGTTACATTCTGGCTAAAGCTGCACTAGATCAAGGTCAAGGCAGAAAGTCAAATTGGCAAGGCAAAAGGGATCATAGAACGTAGTCATATTTCTCTGATAATTTTAGAATTCTACTTTGCTGTGAGTAACAGAAAAGGATCAATGTAAGAAGAATGAATATGAAAATTAATAAGTAAGAAGAGTTACAATAAAAAGTCCAGTGTGCTGAAAAATGAAGGGGAATGCTGGAGATATGAATTATCTGGAGAATTTACAAAAGTACACAAGGTGGGGGAAGAAAACGAAGGAGAATTGATGATATGGAGACTAGAGATATTCAGAAGAAGAAAGAATACAATGAAGAACAGTACATGAGAGGTGTTAATATGAATGAATCCAGATAGCTACATAGAGAACCTATGAATGAAGTAGATTTTGCTTTTAAGCTCCTCTACTAACTGCTGGGATATGGAACACTAGATATTGGCAAATACCTGTAGTAGGTATCATTATCAAATTTATGAAAGCATAAAGCAAGATAACGAATCTATTACTTTTATCAATTTATACTGTACTGTATGCAAGCATTATGATAGAAAAATAATGTATCACTAGTGGTTGGTTCCAATTTACGGATATATATATATATATATATATATACAGTATATATATATATATATATATATATATATATATATATATATATATATATATATATATATATATATATATATATATATATATATATATATATATATATACACACACACACACACACTTGTATATATATATGTGTTTTTTTTAGCAATTAATATCTTCATAAGGTACCACCTCACTTCAGTGTACTGTACTGTATGAGAATTTTTTTACTATACATACACACAAGGCTACACTTCCATAGTCAGTGGAAATTAGGAAAAAACAAAAAACTCTAGTATCACTTTTTTTTTTCACTTGGGATTGTTTACCTCTTGTCTGCATATTTTGTTTTCATACATTCTACACATGCATACATTCTTGTTTCTTGCTAATGCTCCTCACATTATACATGTACTACAGGGTGGTTCTTTCCCTGAGATGTCAGCTTTACTGGGAGAATTTCTTGAGTTTACATTTTAAGCCTTTGTGTAATCTACATTATATAGCAAATTTTCATTTGCAAATACAGTACATACTGTACACATATTCAGACAACCTTACTTTGTGGTATTCCAAACATTTGCTGAGATATTTCTGAAAATCATTTTTTGAGCATACTTTTCCTGTAATTTCCTTTCAATGTGAAAATAAAGAATACCAAATTCCAAAAACATCATAATATAACATCTGATAATCCCATCTGCAATTAGTTTATGAAAAAAAACAAAAAAAACAAGAACTTTAAACTTCAAAACAGTGAAAGCAGTAAAAGCATACAAATTCTACCTTACAGAATAAGCTTACCAGGTATACACAGCTTAATACTCACAACCTGACCAATGAAACATTCTTTTTAAAGACCAGTTTATTAATAATGCCATGGCCAAAATGCCACTTTATATTAATTTTTCTCATCTAATACACCAATATAAAAGAATTTAAAATGAAAGGGTTTCAATTAATTTCAATGTTGTAAAAACTGTTTAAGTTCCTGTCAGTACAACTATGTACAGTACAGGATACTTAAACAAATCTTCATTATACAGTAGTACTGTATAATGTTACTTTTTGTAATTTAAATGGGACTAATTTACAGCATCTGTAAACTGCTCATTATCAAGTTCAGAAGGTGAATACAAGTGTAATATTGTATCCACAGCTTCCAAATCTATTTTTCTCACTGTACACTAATGACACAGCAATGAAGTTTAAAATCTAACTCAGCTCATTTTTGTTGGTAATATGTCAGAGCATAATATACAGTTTCAAATTAACACACTTGTTATATAAAAAAAAAAGATGACAATTGAATGCTTTCTATAAAATTAAATGATAACATTATCTCTTCCAAAGTTCTGTTACATAACATCATTCAGGCACATTACAAATTCTTGTTACATCAAACAATAACCCCATGCAATGTTCCACTGTGTTTAACAGCATTATAATCGCACATCCTAGGAGCATAAAAAGTCTGAGCCAAGTTTCCTTAAACAGGATAAATTCAAGGTCAGTGAGCTTGTGCATTGAGTGCTTTCAGTACATATATTCAACCAATTATTTAGAAATAATAAATCCATACACAGTATAGGTAGTAATAAGCACCTTCAAATCTTAAAATCTCACAGCTATCAAATTCTTTAATCCTAATTTACATCCTAAGGTCACACCACAAATTGGCATATTTAGCAAGGTTCAATACTGTACTGGTGTGACTGACTAGGGTTTACTGTCGTGACAGTATAGTTTTTAAGTTACACATTATTTGGGGAGATGCATATAAAACAATGCATACTTGTACTTAATGAAACACTTGTTCAAACTACAACAGCCACTCAAGTAACATTAATTCTACATGTATGAGCTCTCATCTTTTCAAGGATCATAGGTTGTGTGCCTAATAAAATTTGGAAATCAAAAATAAAAACAAAACTGGTTTAGCCTGTCTCAGCTAGGTGCCATGGAGTCAACTTCACGTGGGTGAACAGTCTTGACCACCAACCACTGACATGCTGAACATAGCAGTGAAATTGTAGCTTTATTGATGTTAACTTGTACACTGTCAGAGCTATCATAGTGCCGTGAACAACCAGGGCACATCATTTTGTTTATGCGGCAATTCATAAATATATCATATAAAAGAACCGAGCACCGAGGTATATTACTATGCAGGTTCTTGCTGGTTGTCAAGTTCACCGACACAAATTTATTTCCTTTATTAAATGCACCATTGTGAGGATTTTTTTTTTTTATATCAGTTGTATCAAGTGATCTCAAAGATTTATGACATCGTTCACTGGCTTCAACAGCTGCCTTGCGCTTTGGTCTTGCTGGACGTGCATCCTGCTTGTTCAGAACAGATTTTTTATCACACAAGCTGCTACTGTAACAGCTATAATTATCTGTTGTATATATACGCTTGATGACAATACTACACTTCTTTATGTCAGGAACGACTGGATAATCATTGCCTTCATTAAATACACTTGTTACAGATGATACAGAAGCGTCACTACTGCGGCTACATCTCCGACTGGACGCACGTGAGGCACTAGCTGAGCTGGCACAACTTTCAATACTTGGTGCTGGGGATGTAGATTTCAAGTGTCTAACCCTCAATTTTTTAGCTGTGCACAGATGAGTTTGGTTTTCAGTATCATTTTCTATACTACTTCTATGAACACTGCTAATGGTCACTGACTGCACATCACCATTTCCCTCATCCTGAATTGTTTCAGAACCCAATCTCATGCTATCACACTTGCTTTCTTTCACCTTTGCATCTGTACAATCATCTTCTGGTGAAACTCTGGTTCGTAATGGATTTGCAATTGTGATTCTAAGTGTTTTCTTCATCAAATTTTTATTTGTATCTAGTTTGGTGTCTTTTGACTCACTACACAATATAGGGCTTCTTCGCTTACTTGTTCTTTTAGGACTGTCTGATAAGGTAGATTTACAGTCTTCTTGAAAACCTAATTCTCCTTCTTCAATATCTAGTTTATCTAGTCCCTCCTCACAGTTTATGTCTTCTCTTCCATTTATTATACTGTCAATGGTCCATCGAGTGTACTTTGACAAAGGATATTTCACCGAGTTTCTACTATCACACCCTAATTCAGTAACACTTGCATTTTCTGCTCTGCAGTGTCTTTCACTTTCACTTCCCAAATCACTATGGAGCAATTTCATTTTTATAACTATTCTATCTTGAGAACTCGGAGAGGCTCCAGACTCATGTTTAGAGGAGGAAACTACTGAAGAAAACTTCTCTGGAGACCCAACAGAATCAGAACAGCTTGGAGAACCACTAGGGCTTATATCTACAGGTGCTTTGACACATTTTGAAGGTACTGGATGTTCATTTATGTGGTGTGATGTTGTTGGACTTGAATGAAAAGCACTTACATCAAACTCATTTGGTGTTACATCCATTAATGATGACTCATTATTAAACAATTTTCCTTCTACAGAATTTAGAGGATTTGCAGGATCAACAGTGGAAGAACCCAGAGGCAAATTTCTGTAGTGTGACTGAATAGTGACATGATGAACAGAGGTCTCTGTCATCTTTGGGTCAATATAGGTGTCTCTCCCATCAGGATGGACAAGTGAATCTATTGTACCTGAATAATCGAGTGAATTTCCTATGCCAGAATGAACACCATAACCTTGAGTACTTTGAACATGAGACTTTTCAGGATGAGAACTATCTCTAGCACCAACATGAACACCAGAAATTCTAGATCTTACATGAACACCAGCAACTCTTACATCAGTGTGTGCTGAAGAATAAACAGAACTGGAATGAACAGACAATTCTCTTTTGCTACAATAAGCAGTGGACTCTCTTAAAAGAGAATCACTGGAATCATTTGCACAGGGATACATAGAAGATTCTTGTCTATCCAAGTAAGAAGGTAGATCTCCAGTGTGGTGAGAACCATAGCAATTCCTTGCATTTGCATATCCAGGTGATCTTGAACTTGGTGATACAGCAGTTTCTTTAAAACTGCCACAATCAGGAATACTTCTTGGGGTTGTGTAATGAGACGCATCTCTGAAAACCGGGAGTCCTGCATTGTTGTTCTCTTTTTTCCTGAGTAACTCACTGGGACTAGAATGTTCAAATGATTCTGTAAAACTAGGAAGTGCTGTTGATTCTGTATAGCTGCTACCAAGGCTTGCTTCCTTGAATTTCATATCAACACGTGGCTCCTCCAGAGTTATATGCTGAGAGTTTACTCTGAAATCTGACATTGACTGTGCATCTCTGTAACTATCATCTGCTCCTATTTTATTACTTTGAACTGAATTTGATGGTTGTCTACAACTTGCTGCATAATCAAGCAGTTCCCTCGGATTGGAATTGTTAGGATCCATGGGTTCTCTGAAACCAGTGTAATCAATGGGTTCTCTGAATCCTGGCAGAAATGGCTGTTTGGGACTTGTGTCACTCAAAGTTTCTTGGAAACTGGGAAGAATTTCTCTTGGGCTATTATGACTTACACTATCTCCAAAAGAAGGAAGAACTTGCTCTCTAGGGCTGGTATGGCTCACAGTTTCTTGAAAACTGGGTAGAACTTGCTCTCTCGGGCTGGCATGGCTTACAGGTTCTCTAAAGCCTGAAATAACTTGATTTCTAGGGCTGGTATGATTTACAGGTTCCCCAAAAGGGATAATTTGGTCCCTGGGGCTGTTATGGTTAATAGGCTCTCTAAGACTTGGAAGAACTTGCTCTGTAGGACTAGCATGATTTACAGATTCTCCAAAAGATGGGCTGGTATGACTTATATTCTCTCCAAAACCTGGTAGAACGTGCTCTCGAGGACTAGTGTGACTTACATCCTCCCTAAAATTTGGCAGAACTTGTTCTCTGGGGCTGGTATGACTAACATTTTCTCTAAAGTTTGGAATAGACTGTTCTCTACAGTCACTAAGGGCCATTGTTTCTCTGAAGTTGGGAATGGCTGGGGGGTCCATGTAGTTGCCAAGAATATCTTGTCCTCTGTATCCTGTTGAAGCAGGCTGCTCCTTGAAGTTGACATGTGGAGTTTGTGCTCTAGTATTTGCATGACCTTGGAGTTCACTCATGTTAGGATGCAATGGCATGTCCCTATAACTGCTGTGTGACTGTGAAGTTCGTGAATTATTCTGTGAACTCGGGTCTCTAAAATTGCCATAATTGTGGGGCACTGAAGAATCTCTATAATTATGTTGTAATGATGACTCTCTGAAATCCGGAAGCAGTGGCACTTCTCCAGGATTGGTCCTTGAATGTAGAGATGCTTCTCTATAACCTGTGTGAACAAGTGAATCTCCATAATTAGACTGAGTATACTGCTCTCCTATAATGTGACCTGCATGAGCAGACATCTCTTGAGAAAGTGGATGATTTGACAATTGATCAGAATTACTGTAACTTGGAAATTCTCTGGAGTTTGTATGCATTGAGAAGTCTCTTGATCCTGGGTACATCATCATTTCACTGGGATTTTCATGAAATTCACCAGAGTTTGTTGGAACATTGAAAGGTTCAGCACTTGAATGTGGGGTATATCCCCCAGCAGGGTTTATTGGAGTAGGAAAGCCACCACAACTTGAGTGTGCACGGAACCCCTCAGAATCTGTTTGTCCGACAAGTCCTCCTGGATTATGTGAAGAATAATCTCCAGAATTGGCAGGCTGAGGGAATCCACATGAATTGGTCTGAGTTGGATATCCTACAAGGTTGGTCTGTGTGGGAAACCCCCCCGAGTTGGAATGCATATTGAACCCTCCCGAGTTCAGTTGTGCAGAGAACTCGTTAGTATTAGAAGGTGTAGAGAACTCCCCTGGATTGTTGTATGGAGAGAATGCTTCAGAACGTCCAGAAAATCCTGGGAACCCACTAGAACTGGCACTTCCAGAAAATCTTTCAGAATTAACCATATGTGGGAGACCAGAAGGCAGTATCTGTGAAGGTATTCCCATAGTGTTGGCCTGTGACAAATGTCCTCCTGAAGTGGAGTGTGGTGGAAGTCTTTCATTGTTTGAGTGTGAAATGGTTCCTATAGTACTAGTCTGTGGTGGTACCCCCATCATACTCATCTGGGCATGACGTCCAGCAGCAGTAGCGGAAGTTGAGGCTGATTGAGGAGAAAGGCCTGTAGACCGTAACTGTGGAGACACTTCAGCAGAACCAGATTGGGGAAGCAGTCCCATAGATCTGGACTGTGAAGACAGTTCAGTAATCCTAGACTGGGGAGACATCCCTGTATACCTTGAATGTGGATGGATTCCAGTAGATAAAGCCTGTGGTGAAATTTGAGCAGACCTGGATTGTGGTGATACTTCAGCTGATCTGGACTGTGGAGATAAGACTGTTTCAGTAGTCCTAGACTGTGGAGACATGTCACTTGATCTGGATTGTGCAGACAGGTCAACTTCAGCTGATCGAGACTTCGACAATAAATCACTAGGCCTGGACTGTGGAGAGACTTCAGCAGAATTTGACTGCGGGGACATCTTGGTTGATTGTGAATATGGTGATAATTTTGCGGCATGTGAAAGTGGAGACATTACAGCAGGCCTTGACTGTGGAGACATCTGTGTAGAATGAGAACGTGGGGACATTTCAGTAGGCCTCGCCTGAGGAGAGACTTCTGCTGGCCTCGACAATAGAGATACTTCAGCAGATTTTGAGTGATGAGGGAGTCCTATAGATCGTGGCTGTGACTGATTTCCTGCAGACCTTGATAGTTGAGGAGTAACTGGTCTTACATAAGAAGAAAGTACAGCTGACTTTGACTGAGGAGATACTCCAGTTATGGTAGATTTTGTAGTAGGTCCCCTTGGGCTTGTATATCTCAGTGGTCCTTTGGTGTTCATATATCTTGGTAATCCTCTGTGATCCGTGGGCATTGCAGGTCCTCTGAGGTTTGGTTGCAAAGCAGTTCCTCTGAGAGAATTCTGGACTACTGGTCCTCTTGGTCTTAGGTGTGCAGCAAATCCTTTGTGTGCAACTAGTCCTTTTTGAGTTATATCAACTTTTAGTCCTCTAATATTTGCAACTGTAGGGCCTCTCATATTAGAGTGATTGGGCATTTCTCTCCATGCTGGGTGCAGAGGGGTAACTTTGGAATTTGGATTTATGGGCATGCCCCTTGGATTTAACTGAGTAGATCCCTTACGGTTTGAAATAATTGGAATGGCTTTTGGGCCAGCTTTGACAAATGTCCCTCTTACATTATTAGCTTTACACATATCTTTTGACACTGTACGACTGATTTGTCCTCCTGAGAAGTGACGGACTGATGATCCACTCTGGATACTGACAGATGCAAGTCCTTTAGAATTAGCATTAAGTGATGATGATCTAGAGTATGATTGTGTTGATAATCTACTAATACCACCAGGTTTACTGATTTCTATGTTGGCTGTAATTACAGAACCATTATTAGTAACATCATTTTTAGTATTTTGCACCATTTCATTTTTCACTCTACCACTATTATCTGTACTATCAACCATTCTTCTTACTATAGTTACACCCCGGCTGGCTAATGTCGATTCAATCTCCATTGCTGACCTATTTACACGGTTATTTGTATTTCCACTGTATTTTTTGCTTACAGTATGAAAGTTAATTCTTTCACTACACTGTACAGCATCACTGCTCTGGTTACCACTATCACATATTTTGCTGTTAAGTTTTGCCTGGTCTTTGTTATCAGTGTTGGAAAAGCTTTTAGTCAATAATTTCCCATTTCCATCACTTGGATTTGATTGTTTCCCAGTCAGAATATCTGGGCTATCACTCTGACTTACATTATCACCATCTTTTTTTACAAACCGAATTACCTCAATTTCTGCCTTGTTGTTAACATCTTTTCCTTCCAGTGCACTCCCCTTAACAACATGACATGAATCAGAAGCTTGGTTCACTTCTTCATTCACAATGGTAATACCCTGTGCACTGTTTTTCTCTGCATGATCTGCTTCAGTAGTTCCCTCATTCTCTTTTGGTGCTTCATTTTTCCCATCCGTTAGTTCCTGCAAACTGTTATTTTGAACGCACTCTGCATTAGTTAGTTCCTGGTGGTAGTTATTTTTTTCACTGTCTACATTTTTAATTTCATATGAACTATCCTTTTCTACATAACCTACTGCTACATCAGTAACTTCCTGACTTGGGTTCACTTCTTTATCATTTACATCTACTGTATTCTGTGCACTGTCACTTTCAACGTGATCTTCAACAGTAGGTTCCTCATTCTGAAGTGCTGTTTCCCCATTCAAAACTGCTAGACCCTGTGCATTGTTACTTTCATCAGGTTCTATATTCGTAAGCTCTTGGTTGGAGCTCACCTCTCCCCCCTTCACAGTTCTTTCCTTTGTCCTGTTACTTATTACATGATAAGCATCACATAATTCCTGACTCTGATTCACTTCATTATCATTCTCATTCACCTCTTCTGGAGTTACAAAATCATCATTACCTAAACTCTGGCTGTTCACAATATCACTAGTTTCCTGATCTTGGTCCACTTCTTCACTATTTTCATTTACTTGTTCCGATGGTTGTAAATCCTTAATGTCTGATTTCTGACCCTTACCAGTATTATCACATAGGTCAGATAAGTCGGGTGGTTGGTTGCTGGTGTTTGGGACATAGGGTGGAGATGCCAGGGAAGACCTCCTCCGTGCTACCAGCGACCGGAGTCCTGGCATAGCTTTAACAACTCGACTGCACCTGGAAGGAAGGATGAATGAATACACTGTACAGTTGTTATTATGAGCAAATCTCAAATAATGTACATGATTCTCAAAGCAGCAATAATTATCATGTACTTAAAAGTGCCATAATGTAATTAATGCTAAACAAATCAAAGTCTCATCTGTCTACCAAAAATTAAGAAAGTAGGTCAAAAAATACACAGTTGTACACCAAATTGGTGCACAACTGTGTATTACCAAACACAATTTAAATACCGGAAACCTATCACTAATTCAATCAGTTATTATTAGACCAAGCATGCCAAGGCAAATATTTAGCTGCTAGCTACTGTAATCAGCAGCAATGGCAGCAGCAACATTTTCTTAAGTTTTTCAGGTATACTAGTGTTATATGCAATTTGGTAAATTTCGTTTGTTTTCAATAATTTAAATCTTTCCCCCTGCCGCGTGCAAAATTAAAAAAAATAAAGATACAGGTACTGTACAGTATACAGTACTGCTAAAATGAAGAAAAAGAAAAATCTTAAATAGCTAATGAAACTTGCTGACATGTGTACAGTACAGTCAATCCTCACATTACGCGGTCCCGCATTCACCGTTTCACCGTTAACGCGGTGCCTTGCCAGAACCTAACATGCTCACATTCCGCGGTCGTGAACCCCATTAGGCGGAGAGCAGCTGGCAAGCCGCGCCATTTTTGGATCCAAACCTCCCGCCATCCGCCATGTTGTGTAAGAGGCGCGAAAATGGTGCGCACAAGGTCGCCCAGTCATCAAAACATTACCAGTTCTTCACCCGCCACCCACTACAGCCGGCCCAAGTCAGTGATAGTGATAATTATAGTGAGGATATGGACTTATATGAACTTTGGGGGGTTTGACAAAGAGGCCCTGCAAGCCTCTGTGGTGGATAGTGATACAATTGATACAAGTGATACAGGTGAGGGCCAATAATCTGCCCTCTGCCTCGGAACCAACCGCCCATCCCCGTGTGCCCAGCCATCTTTTCTACTAATGTAAGTGTTAAAAAACCTAATATTATTGATATTTCTCTTAATTATTAATTGTGTGTGCATGCCATCATAAAGTTAAGATAATATTTTTACTACAACATAGTTGTGTGTCGTCAAAAAGTGGAGTTTGGGGATCGGCCTGGACTCCATTTCAATTAATCCCATATGTTATGTTGTTCACTTTACGCGTTCCTCACTTTCCGCGGTACCCTCCGGGTTACATTAACCACGTAATGTGAGACCCAACTGTACTTTGTATTGTGGTGGGGTTGAGATATGAGGCAAGATGGGGACTGAGATCCTGGATGAGAATGCTAAGGAGGCTATATTGTATGTAGTACATGGTAATCACAAAAATTAGCATCTTGTGGGTTCACACTGTACTGTACATATTTCACAAGTAAAAATTTCAAACTACAGTAGTACAGGCAGTCCATGACTTATGACAGGGATTGTTCCTAGACCCCGATCATAAGTCGATTTGTTCGTAAATTAGAAAAGTGTTAATTCCTTAGTTTAGATTAAGTTACAACATAACCCTGCAAATACTAAACAACATTACTATCCCATACATAACAAATAATGTACAGTAAATACTATAACAAAAATTAAGTGATGCTAAACAATATAGAATAATGAAAAATATTGTAATAAAAAAAGGGGGGTTTTAATTAAAAATTTTGGCGATGAATGTACAGCATGCCCTGACAATTCATGGATTTTTAATTTGCGGACCTCGAGTATTCGCGGATGACACCCTGGATGTACCCAAGAATGTCTAAGGTAGTTTAAAGTTGCTGCCATTTTCGTGGCTGGGACAAGGAGCCATTCATTATAGAGATAGAAAATTCTTTTACCTGTCTTGTAAATGTGCGCGCGTGTGTAGACACACAAATGAATAATAATCGGAAAATCTTCTCACAAATAATCAGAAACAACACAACGAAATTTAGAATAAATGTGAGTCTATCCTCAAGTTAACTTTAATAACAAAGCACGGAGTTGACTTGAGGGTAGACTCACATTTATTCTAAAATTTGTTGTCTGTTTCTGATTATTTGTGAGAGGATTTTCCCATTATTATTTATTTGTATGTCTTTTGCACACGCACACACGTGCACGTACACCTCCACCACCAAGCACTGGAAAGGTTTGGCAGCCAAATAATGCACCACCCTCGATATCGCCACCTCCTGCCACCGGCAGCCCCCCACCCACCTCACGCAGTCCGCCACTACAACAAAATTCAGCCCATAAGAGCCCGCACCAATAGATATAAGAACAGCACCATCCCATCTATTGTTAAAATAATAAACAACTCCTGATTTATGTACTGTACAGCCCTGTAAATGTATTCAATGCATATTATATCATTATGTCTAAATCAAATGTAAGTCTGTATATTTTCAGCCGCCGGCTGCAACTCTATTAATAAACCGTTTATTATTATTATTATTATTATTATTATTATTATTATCATTACACACACTACATCTCTGACCACGTAGGGTCAAGATCTATTCAGGTGCTGCTCCCACTATGCCTGAGAGATGTGGTATTTGCAGCCTAGGCCACAAGATGGAAATGTGTACCCTGTATGCAAAAACACAAGGAAGCCGGACACGAAAGCGAAGGGTACAAACTGTCAAATGAAACATCAAGCTTGGAGCATATCATGCCCAGAGAGGAGAGAGGCTGAAGGATCCACTGGCAAAAATTTACCCCCAAAATACAACAGATGCACCTCAGAACACATTCCTTGCAGTCCTCCCACCAGGCTACAGGACAACTCTGAATTCATCGGGAAAAAAAAAAGTCTCTGCAGGAGATTATGATAACTCGGTGGACTACACAACCGCTGCACCAGAGCCAAACAACAAAAAGATAACAAAGTCCAAGAAGACCGGACAGCTCGCCAACTGCACTGGCTAACCATTACCCCGGAATACGATCCGCAAATCCATTAACATCCAGGTTCCCAATTACTGCTGGGCAGACAAGAGGCAAATGACATAAATAAACTTCCCCATAGTTTCAGCCTGCCAGGGATCAAACCCGGGTCCGCTCGCTTGCGAGGCGAGCATGCTGACCATTACACCACAGGTCGCTAAACCCCCTTAGGCTACCACCCGACCAAAAACACCCTAGCCTATAAACCTACAAGCTGCATCCACAGAAGAACAAATAAGAAAGATGATCACCAATATGAGTGACCATTTTTACTATTTCGAAGGAAAACGATACCAGCACCGAAAACATACTAAATGCAGATATGAGACAGTTCACAGGAAAGATGGAGGAACACCACAACTAAAGCTGGAACAGACAACCCCCCCTGAGTTAGATGCCAGACAGGAAGGAGAACTCGCCATGCAAGAGAACACCCACAACAGTAAAGCCTCCTCCTTGCAACAGATTACGAGGAACAGAACAGCAAGCACAGTCCGTCAGCAAACTCATGAGCACAGACAAGAGCAACAACACCCTGAAAAAGAGTAGAAAAAACGAAAAAGCAGGGATCCCCTGCTGGTCCCCCCTAGGAACAGCTGCCAAACAGCACACAATTTCCTGTGGACAACATGATTCTCATCAGAGTGACCATCCCCAGTTCAGAGCAGAACCTGTTCATTGTGGAGATGGATTAGAGGCGCAAACTGTTCGGCTACATCTGGCAACAACAATCTTGTAGTACAGTATATAGTAACTATAAACCACAGGACAAACAAATAGAAGCCGGTGAACTACTGTTTCTAGCAACACAAGAACTTGTGCTCCTTGCTAGGGTCTTCAATACTCACCATCCAACGTTCAATTTGACTTCAAGAACGAACCAGGATGGTCAACACCTAGTGGAACTGCTGACAGATGTTTCAGAAATCACATTCCTTAATGCTGGGGAACCAACACACATACTGGGTGGCAGATTGTACCTCGCATTCATCTTCACTGAACTCGTTCCAATAGTCCACTGGGAGGTAGATGCTGAACTGACCAGTGATCGCTTCCCAACCTCAACTAGTACTTTGAGAGTGGAGCTACTCCCTCCCGAATCCGTATTTTTTTTAATTTAACAAACCTGAATCCACAATACTGTATATGAACCTAGTTTGAACAGGTCAGTGTCTGTTGAAGCTGAGGTCCGTTATAGACGATCTTCGTTATATTGGGGGTTTACTGTATTACATAACCGAGGAGTCTAAAAGCAAACACTGGCAGAAACAGACTACAACTCTGTCATATTTAATGTGACATGTTTATATCGTCATTTAATGCTCTATTACTGGGAATATAATTAAGTGGTTAAGCAACAAAACATAAAATTTTCTTAGTTACAACATTGTCATATTTCGAATGTGATGTGTGCATCATCATTGAATTATCCGAAAATTTGCAATACAAGTTACATCAGTTATAATTCATATGAGACATATGTGAATTATTATTAAATAAATTTTCTGTTAACTGGGGGTATAATTATGTGATTAAACAACATAACACACAATTTTGTAAGTTACAACTCCGTTATATGTCGTATGCTACAGCTGTGTCATGTTTCATATCTGACATGTATACGTCATCATTTGATTAATTTTCTATACCTAGGGTGAATATGAGGTTAACAACATAGCATAAAATTTTCTAAGTTGAAATTGAAATACGATTACTGTAATCTTTTTTTTTTTTAAATCAGACATAGGTGACTCCAAATTGTATCAGAATCTTGAAAGTTCGATTTTTAACTACTAAATACGTACATAAAAATTCACCCTTGCCTTGTTGTCAGACTGTAATTCTGAGATTTTGAGCATAAAAGAGAAACACTATTTTACATCAGTCTTGAATGGAAACTGAACAAAATCAAAAGACTCAGTAGACAACTCAGGGAATCTTCATCAAAATTTTGTTTGCATCCATGGAAATAAAGTGAACTGAGCTAAAAACAGTTCAAAGGTACCGAAGGAGTATGGAACTTCTGTTATGAAATGTGTCATCATGTCAAGACTGAACTGACTTGACACAAGTAGAGTAACTATATTAATCCCTTGACCATAATTTATGATCCCGACTTAAAGATACAGCAACTGTCAGCCATGCCCTTCAGTCCTTGACACCTGGACTTAAAAAAAACAAAAAAAAACACATGTGACAGCTACAAGATCCAGGTGACTCCAGTGACCCCATGAGGTTTATCGGAGCTCAGCAACCCTAAGCCCTATGCGACCCTTATGATGCACCTTCTAACCCCCATTTGGAGTTGCGACTGTGTTTGGAAGTCACTGCTCTATACCATATACAGGTATTGTATACCTATATAATTCCTCTGACATAAGTGTACTATATGAGTATTCTATTACAGGTTGTGCCTCTCTAGTCCGGCATTCCGTGGTCCGGAACGATTTTAGTTTGCCCAATAGCCAACATCCCTGATGTAACTCAAATGTAATTTGAGTTACACTACCATCACTTCACTTTGGAAGCAGAATTATGGTAGCATTAAAGGTAAATGAAATAGTATTTTAACCGTATTACTTTTTCTTATTTATTTATTATCTTATGTTTTTATGCTTTATGTAGGGTGTTTCGAGGGTGACTTTCCATGGTCTGGCACTGGTCCGGTGCCGGACTAGAGAGGTACTACTGCCTGGGAAGATATTGGAAGCATAATGTATTGTCTAATGGTAGACCCTGCTGCCATATGGCATCACGAAAATTGTGACCAAGTGCCAGGTTGCTGATCTGTCTTTCTGCCTCCTTTACACACAATTGCAGGGTCTCAATTGTTTCTCTTACTTTGACGACACAACATACTGTACATATATTGTTTCTCACTATTGATTTTTTCATTTTTTAATTTCTTTATGGTTCTTTATCATTATTATTATTATTATTAGTGTTGTTATTATTATTATTGTTATCATTATTATTTTATTTTTAATTTTGTATTTTGTATTATAAATTTTATTTACTATAAATTATTGTTTAATTTTTATTTTTGTATTTTTATTATAAATTTTATTTAATATGAATTATTATTATTATTACATTTTCGCCTACCAGGCCCTGATGTGGGTCAGTGACCTGTGCCCGGGTGGGCTAATCCCCGTGTAAAAAAAAAAAAAAAATGTAAAATGCTTGGCAATTAATGAATTATTAAAATGTAAGACTTCAACAAATTGGTAACATACTGTAATTTTAAGAACAGGGTAACCACTGTATTGTCTTTTATTTTTAATTGTTTTTATTTAATTTCTAAGATATGTTTCTCTTATGTACAGTACTTGTAGTTTATGGATCCATATTTGGCATGCTCAGCAATGGAACTATTTTAATTTTTCGCTCATTAAAAATTTGTACAGTAAGCTGATAAAACAAACCAAAATATATTTTTAATAAAGTTAAGTAATGTAAGGTTGGTTCACTTTGTCTATTTTAAGAAACCATGTTTGATACCACAGCCTCCAAGATGGAAGCCTACTGGTACTCTCAAATAATAATGTTTACTGGTGCCTAATTTGAAAAATAAGAAGTGGTGGAACTCTAGTGAGACAGAAACATGTTGCGAGCCAACTGAGCCTACAGAACAGGCAAGGCACTTAGTTATACTATTGCCAAGGCCTATAGGGGCACATTGTGAAGATATTATATATAGTACAGTACACAGTAGTGATGGCAGTATTTATTGATGTGATTACATTTATAATTTACTCATGCAAAATAAAAGTGGTGGAACTCCTTTCCAGTGCATTCCTACACACATTAAGCACTGATGTTAACATTTATGGTACTCACTGCCGTAACTAAGAAGTCATGGTAGAATAATGTATATTATGTCTATATGCTGTGCACATAATATTCATTACGAAGTGATTGTTTGACCAGTATACCTGGACAAATAACCATCGGCTATCTGAAAGGGACCCGCAGGAATTGTGTATAATTTTACTATGATTTTAGTGGGATTCTGCTTAGGTTGGCTGTGGGCATTACACTAGTCATTACGCTATTATTTAAATGTTGAATGTTACAGCACTATCTTCTTGTATCATCTTTTGATACTCCATGATACACCACGTCTCTCATGGACATATGTTGTATAATGCAGCTTAGGTTAGGTCAAGTCAACATTTTTGGAGGTCAATACCTGATACCTAAACATTACAGAATCATTAATAATAAATATTGAGGTGTTGGTTTTCTTAACAAATTGATTTTGAATTTAATCTGATTTTATCTTGCCGGGTATTTGTATCCTTAATTTTGAATGTGCAGTATTATTTCCATTTGATCAATTTTTTTCGAAGTTTGAAATTATCAATAAAATTGTATGTAGAATTTTCTGTGGCCAGGAGTACTTAGTTTTAATTAAGATTCTACTCAGTTATTTGGCTGGATACCGGTCAAATAACCCCTGCCTATTTATTATCACCGTAAAGAAAAATTACTTATAAAAATAAGCAAATCAAACTTAAACAAATCTAATATAAGCTTGATCCTGTACTGTGCATAAAATATTAATCCACTCAACTTAATTTTTTCCCTCATAATAGGTTACAATATTTATCTCAATTATAAAATTTCATGTAGCTATGGCAAATATAAGAACACATATATATATACTGTACCAGTTTTAATATCCAGGAGCTACTTGGCAACCAAATCTGTCAATACAGTCAGCCCTCAATTTTCACAGGGGTTAGCTATGAGCTTAAAAAACTTAGTGAAAATAGAAACTAAAAAAAAGAAAAGAAAAACAGTACTAAGGATCAATACTGTAGTAAATTGGGAGTTAGGTCTCACAAGATGACCTCCCTCAATCCTCTTTGAGCTCTTGGTAAATAACTTTAAATCACAGAGACAAACTAGAACTAATATCCCAACACATATCAACATAGGGTATCATCTGCAAAATTTAACCCAGTAATTTGTCCATTAGTTAATTTAGAATATTGATTATCATCATCAGCTTTGTTAAGAAAGTGTCAGTTATCAAACCACAAAATCCTCCTTATGTAAAAAAAAATCATCTCTGTTTTTTTACTTCCCTCCATTATATATATATATATATATATATATATATATATATATATATATATATATTATTTATTTTTTTTATATGAAAAATCACAACATGAATTAAATTAGCACACCTGAGCTGGCACAGCATTGAAATTATAATTTCCAAAAGAACATCACATTATCAAATGTCAATACACTAAGCCTGAACTCATATTAATTCCATAATATAATGTTCATGACCTTGCATATGCTTTAAACAATATAAATAATTATGCTTGATCACATATACAAACAGCAAGAGTTCTCTAAAAGAAAACTTTGTATTATGATTATTCAGCACCAAAAATTCTTCACTAGTTCACAACTCTGGGTATATGTTTCTAATCCAATATCCACAAATATTGACCTTATAACTTTAATGACTGACTTGCACAATGTGCCACACTAACAATTGTGTTGTATTTTTACAATAAAATCACTATTATAATGGAAAAATTCACTTTCAACAAATTTCCTTCATTTAACTTAATTCTGGCTAACTGCCAATTTTTCCATGAAGACATTTCTTTCAACATCAGATGTTCATATTTCATTCTTCAATGAAAGCAGCTGTAGTGAGTTGTATTTGCACTGTTACTCGGGTTCTGGCCAGCACACATCAGATGAGATTAAATTTTCCTGTTGATGTCATTTTGGTTCAGCCTCCTTCACTTGGCTGCTGAGAAATTCACTTCACAGAGTCGACGAGGTTACTTATTCACACTGTTTATAGTAAACAAAGCATGAATTATCACCTTAAGACGTGTGATGGTACTCGTGCCACAACCGCTCACGCAACTAACCAATATAACCTTGGCATTCCCAAACTGGCCTCAAGCAACTCCGTGTTGTGAACACTGAACCAGCGCCACCTACACATCCCTCCCCTTCTGGCCCTAGTATGGCTCTATCTTATAGTATCAATATGGTAATCAATACTTAAATTACGCCCTTACTTTGGTATTACATCCAAGTTTCTGAAAGGTACTAATTAGGAAGTAGGTCACTTAAGAAAACGTAGACAATCCTTCTGCGCGTTCACTCGGCGCGTCCCTGGCTTTTGTTATGGTAAGAGTTAGCGATTAATTACAGGCCAAATAATAAATCGAATTATCAGAATTATCCTTTTACCCATCAAATAAAAAATAGGTATACAGCGTATTATAAAATTACAAATAAAAGTATTTTAAAACCATTTTCCCTAACAGATAGGTTATATCGTGTTTATCAATCGCAAAAGAGCAGCGGGAATTTTGAATGGTGTGTTTGGGACAGATGAAGTTACCTATTTAGTGCCAATGTGCTGCAAGAATGTAAATATAGCTTGGCTTTGCAAATTTAATTTCGTATAATCTAGTACCATAGATGATTTGATATTTGTTCCAGCTACTTGTGCTTTTACAAAATCTGTTCAGTTTCAGGAAAGTCTGAATTATCGAAATACTTTCACCAAAATTACATCCTTTGCAGTGTGTGATCTTGTATGATTTCTCAAACAAATGACGTATTCAGGAATATGAAGTCAGTCTTGTAATGGCGCAATTGTGAGTTATGAAAATTTGCATCCAATGCAACAAAAATATTAATTAAGTGATAGCTCGTGAACAAGTAAGTGGTTTTAATTATCATACCTTAATTCATCTTTATTTTTGTCATTCTGACTATCTTAACAGATAAAGTAATGATCAACAAATAATCTACGCTACATGTTTGGCACATAAATATCTAATAATTTCTCATAGATCGTTATGAACTGTCCACAGACAGTGTAAGTGTTAATATTGTACCTGTTTGCCCAACATGTCCTCCACTGACAATTAAATCAAACTATGCTAACGCAAGGAGTCGATTGCCCTCTATGAAACCACCACATGTAGGATATACAGTAAATATACACAAAGTGTTTGACTAAACACCACAATTCCCCTCTTACAGTAAACGCCGACCTATGGCGTGTTCTCTCTTAGGTATTCACAGTTACCCTGTATATATATATATATATATATATATATATATATATATATATATATATATATATATATATATATATATATATATATATATACTCAACACCTCACCCCCAAGACTCGAACCCACGAATCCTAGCAGGGTGAGGTGTTAATTATATGTAGAAGTCCGCGTGCTTTATTGGGCTGATGAAATAATGAAATATATATATATATATATATATATATATATATATATATATATATATATATATATATATATGTATATATATATATATATATATATATATGTTATATATATATATATATATATATATATATATATATATATATATATATATATATATATATTAACATAGGTAAAAATAATTTATATCACAGATAATCCACAGTAAAGACACTAAGGTTCAAATATTGTAAAAGATTTGGAGATTTAAAGAGTGATATTAGTAAGGAAAAAAGAAAAACGTATTGATCACAATTCAACACATTTTTTTAATGCATTTTGTCATAAGCAGGCTGTGAATGTTGACGTACAGTGCATGTATACGTAGGTACATTACCTACACATTATTGTTGCTGGAATGTTGGTCATGCATACCACTACAGATGTAGCTACTTTTTCCATTCATAAGTTTCTACATACACTTTACATCTATTTTAGTTTCTTAACCTTTGCACTCGCAGTGAAATTCTTTCCGTAACTTTCGTTCTATTATTGTCTATAGTCATAACAAACAAAAAAAGTTCTCATTAAATGATATTGTTCCATAACCTAGGTATAATGATGAATATAGGTATATCTGACTACAGGAACAGTGCTCATACACTTAACCATTTGCGTCGTTCCTCTTTTAAACGTAGTTGGTGAAACTGAACACAATCTCTGTGAACAAAATCATTTAAAGTCGCTAATGTTAACCCTTCGTTTTATGAGTACTTTACTGCACTTGAGTAGTTCACTTGTGTCACAAGATTGAGTTTTATCTACTGAGAGCTGACGGACATCCTACCATCTGCCCGTGAGGCAATCGCCTGCGAGCCTAGTCGAAAGTTCTTGAAAGATAACGAGACACATGAGCGTGAGATAACGAGACACATGAGCGTGAGATAACGAGACACATGAGCGTGAGATAACTTCTTGCTGATTAATTATTTTATAGAGCCTGTAAATCTACCCCTTATCTTATTGTTTGTTTCCATGTAAAGTTCATGAGCTGACGTTTTAGACATACTGCACCTTAGAAATTAATGCCATTTTTGCAAGTTTCCTCGCTGTTGTTAAAATGTAATTTTAATGATAAATTTATTGTTAAGTTTACTATTATTTCTATGTGTGTTTGTCTACTGCACTCTGCCACATTTTCAACTTAAACGTGTAGTGTAAATTTATGCCCTATTTAATTATCCCCAAATTCTTTGTACATACAGTACAGTCTAATGCATTTTACACTTGCACATATACCATCACCCTCAAAAACTTAAAACATTTATGTGTTCTTGTGCATCTCAGGTTATCATAACAATCAACTTATCTGATGTCTGCCCACACTTGAGTTCTGATAACACGGGTAATCCATTGCAATCAATGTGTGGAGATACAATTTTATAAGTTCCTGAGGAGACTCGTTGACAAGGATATCCTTCAATATACTGTAAAATACGGCCTTCAATATACTGTAAAATACGGCCTTCAATATACTGTAAAATACGGCCTTAATAATGTACACGAATTTAAGCAGCAGTATCTCTTAATTAACCCTTTCATTTTCACGTGTGGTTCAGTTTTCCGTTGCGCAGTTTGGCTCAAACAAGTTCTCGCCGTTTATAAATTAATTCATATTTTCTTCACATATTGAATAAGTCAAAACGGCCACCGGAGGATTTTCCCATCTCCAACCACTTTCAGCATCGCTCGAAAGGGTTGATTTTTCAGAGTGCACTTTAAGTTCAGCAGCTTTAACTGTTGAGTACAGTATGTGTTACAAAGCACAATTTACACTTGATGTAACGTGATGCCTATATTTCTACATTTATTCCTAACAGCCCTTAATAATTTATTATTCCTCCCTAATGAACGTTAATTGATTGATTGATTTATGGAATTTAAGCTCAAAGCCTATCACCGGAGCCAATAGGCCATTCAGCGCTATCCCTAATGGCAAGCATGAACTCCGCATGCTTCCCAGTTGGGCACTGTAAAGGCTTCTGCGCTTCACCTTGCACAGGATGTAAGAGGGTGCCCAATAAACTAGCCCCCTCGTGGGCAATCTGTAATCTGTAATCCTAATGAAAGCCTTACAATATTAAAATTTTATTCTCCTCCACACCGAGTTGAATTTACTTGTCCCTCACCATGTGCAATTGCATATTGATGACGACGAACACCTATTGTTAAAAACCGAGCGACAAGCTCATGGTGGGTAGCATCTGTGATCTCAACCTTTTTAACGTGATGGTACAGTATTTTGCTTATACTGAGTATTCAAGTCATCGTACCCAAGTGGTAACCTTTGGGTATGATGACTTTAGTATCAATAAAGTGCTAAGTAGACATAACGTTCCGGACTGTCTCTCTCCACGCACCAACCTGTTTCACCCCATACCCACACCACACTTTCGCCACCACCAGCGCCAGTGCACTCACCTCTAGTTATAGTTTCACTCACTTTCACCATCAGACATTGCTACCCCTACACTCACCGCCTCTCAAGTTTTCTTCCACTCTGGTAATCTTTACACGATTTTGTGTTCTTAGCCACGAGTTTGCCTAACTGCGCAGCCTACATCCCTAAACTAACGTCCATACTCAGCAATTGCTTTAAGCATATTTACTAATTAAAAAAAAAGCGGACCTCACGAGCAAAATAAAACATCATCTATATCGTAGAATAAATAATGAAGGATATATGGCGTTACTTTTTACGCAAAGCTTATAAAGAGGCTCCTTCTCTATGCTGTATCGTTATGACAAGTGAGCACAAGCACGTGACAGATGGGCGGGGCCCTGCAGGAACACGTCAGCCGGGGAAAAACCACAATCTACCACCCGCAGCCTTGTTTAGCGCCATGTAAATAACAAGTAGCGCAGGATGAAAATGCATGTGGCAGCACTGCAAGAGGTATAACATGCTTTTATAAGCGCAATTAGAAGAGTAGTCACTTGAATATAAACCAAGGAAATCGATAAACTTTAGGGGTTTACTTCTTTTTAATCTTAGTTCAAATGACCTTGACGCGGGTAAAGATTCCAGAATGAGTTTTACCCTTATCCTCGGCCCCTTTACCCTCCACAAGAGTTCGGGTTAGGTTTTATTGTCTCAACATTTGTCCACCAACGTCTTGCCTCCATCCTTCTCCTTTGATGGCGCTCTTTAATTAATGTAAGTGTAGTTGTGCGGCATTAGTAACATAACTGAATAAATTCAAGAATACTATAGTAAAAAAATAAAATTATGCCTCGACCACAATAACGAATTGAAGATTAATTAACTGCATCGGAACGTGAAAATATACTTTCTTCTCGATGTAACAGTGACCTATTCTATGTTCTGGTCTCTATAGAAACTATAGAAACGTCATAAAATGTCACAGAGCATTCACTCCTCTCCGAACTCTTGCCAGGCGGAGCATTTCTACCAACTTCATCGAAAGTGAGTTTAAAACACACACACACACACTGATCTCACTCTCGTCGCACAACGTCATTATCTTGGAACAACGAGGGATGAAACAAAGTGGAACAGTCAGTACTGTATTAGGTTTGTAGTGGACGTCTCCCCTATAAACTGCGTAGCTGCACACCACCTGCTACCGTCTTCCCTAGCAACCAAGAGTATCAGCATTCCAATGCCCGCCGTATCCTAGCAACTGAGCCAAAAGGCCGGCGACTTCTCGGGTTTTCCCAACATGACTCATAGCGGCTGCTGGGTATATAAGCTCTGTCTCTCCATTGAAATTCATTCTGACCATTCTTCTTGAACAAGCAACACCTCCTCCTCCGCCGCTGCCTGGCAGCCCTCGCATCTCCTCGCCTGCCTGGCGGTCCTCGATCCCGCCAGCGAGCATGGCGACCCACCAGCTGTCCTCCTCTGAGCTTCCTCACCAACCAACTCTCATTCTGCACCTCCAGCACCAGACTGTCTTCATATAACTTATATATATTATACAAGAAAACCACATTAGAGTTTCCTTCCATCCTGAGTGCTAGACAACATTAATACTTCGATACCCCTACAGGTTACACAGGCCGCCCCCTCAGAGACTAAATTTACGATTATGGCCCTAGGATCAAACTGGTCATTTGTAAACAGCCATTTTGAAGAATCGATTTGGGAAGGCAATGCGCATGTTTTACATTATCTTTTATTTTATCTTCGCCACTGATCTACCTGTTAGCCGCTTGGTCGATAATATCTCTGTTACGCATTGTTGACAAGTACTGGGACCGGCATTGGCTCCAGAATGTGTCTAAACCTGCGCCAGTGTTGGTCAAGACAAGTCTGGTTTCGAATGAGCTCACACTCGGTCTTGGCAGATTATTCCAAAAGTTCACAACTCGCACTCCAAAAAAGTTTGCCTTGACAATCTTCTGAACTCGCAGCTTCTTCAACCTGAGGCTGTGACCTCTAGTGGGGCGGGCATCTCCTAGTTCCAAACTTCCAGATAATACCTGGAACTAGCTGACCCAAACAGGGTAGTCTAGTGGGGGAAGAGGGGGGGGGGGTTACAGTTGGACCATCAAGTGTGCATAGGGTATACATAAACTTTGATTCGGTGTAATTAAAAATAAATATTTAATAGGATAGGATAATACTTTGATAATACAGAAAATATCGTGACGACCTTTTACTAATAATTAAGGAATATATACAAGACCTAATGTAATTATTTTCAATGAAAGGTGTATTGCCACTATCTATTATACGACCAACAATACAATATTCCAAACCACAAACAGGTAACATAATGACTCAAAGTAGCCGAAACTTAATACCGTAAATCAACGTTACCAAAACATTCAACGCAATGAATCAAAGTTAGTTACCAAATTTAACAGTTAAAGCAATGCAATAACCTTTATTCAAGATTACTTTACATAGTTATTATGAAGAAATACATTGGTTGACGCTGTTTTATCAACCAAAAATATTTGTCAATTTCGTCCGACTTGGATGAGCTCGAGCAAAGCTAGTAATAATCTTAGTGATGTTTATAGAAGCATTCAACAAGGCGAGATCATTTAATCTTTCTTGTTTCATTGTAGAGCCCAGGTAACGTGTGAGATTCCTCAGTCGACTAAACGCAGGAAAAATATATACAGACATGGACAAAAACAATTCAAGAGTGAGAAAAGACATATATGTTGTGTTGTCAAAGACAGAGAAATGATTGAAACCCCGCAACTCTGTGTAAATGAGGCAGAAAGTCTGTTCAGCAACCTGGGTCTTGGTTACAATTTTTGTGATGCCATATAGCAGCAGGGTCTACCATTAGACAACAAATTATGCTTTCAATATCATCCCATGCGGCAGTACCTCCCTGTTTGATAGCTGCCTACTACCTAAAAAGTTGAGAGCACAGATAACAGAGTTTATCTCTGACACAGCTGAGCAGATGGTAAGAGCGTGTCCTTGAAGGCTTACACTGAGAGGCTTTATGTAACGAAGTGCATTGCGAATCACAGTAAATGACATCAGAAATTCATACTGCGTAATTGCAAGAAAAAGTGATTTTGCTATAGAAATTGACTCCAAGTTCCATGATTCTCCCTCTTCGGAAATATTTTGTGTAGTATCGACAACAGCTATATAACGCTCTATCCTTATTTTTAACAAGATGTTTAAATTATGTGAACTGTAAAACAATAATGCCAGACTCCTGTATACGGACCCACGTTTCATGGCCACAAGGGCACATTTGTATGTGTCTAGGGGGACACTTGCCCCCCTCCCCCGGTGTTCGATCCTGGCTAAGAACATTCAACAAATCGCCTCTTGCCCGTCTATAGTATAAGCTAGGCAACTGGAGGTGTTCTAATCTCTCTGGGTATCTGAGGTGTCGAAGTGGAGGCACCAGTCTGCTGGCCCTCTTTTGGGTATCTCATTCAGCAGACAGTTTCTAACACATCTAAGGGATTCAGACGGGTTGAATGTACTCCATATGGGGAAGCACCTCACCTTTGAAGAGCATTTTGAGTTAAACAGTTATATCAGAAAGAGTGGTTCGAGAGGACGTGTGTCTGTCAACTGTACACAGACTTCCACAGTAAAGACCAGACTGTGCCTGCACTTCAGGACCTCAGTTATCCAGACAGATTAGAGCGCCTGCAACTGCCTAGTTTATACTACAGACAGGAAAGGGTTATTTAATTGAGGTGTATAAACATCTCGAAGGGCACTACTCAGTCGAATGTCAATACCTGGAGCTGGCGGACGTCCGCCCCACAAGGGGTCACAGCCCAAAGTTGAAGAAGCCACAAGTCCAGAAAACTGCGAGGCAAACCTTTTCGGAGTAAGAATTGTGAACTCTTGGAACAATCTGCCAAAGAGTGTTGTGACGGTACCGGAGTGTGAGCTCTTTCAAGACCAGACTTGACCAACACTGGAGCAGATTCAGAGGCATTCAGGAGCCAGTGCATGCCCAGTACTTGCCAAGAGTGCGAAGAGGATAAAAGTAAAAGTAAAGACCTGACTTTGAAAGTTTTTTATTTTAATTTCCCTCCCAGACGTATGTGAGGGAAATGGAACATGAAGTAACTTCAACTAAAAAAGTAACTTACTAACTACCTACCTACCTACCACAGAACGCCTTCGGTCATCAAGAAACTGCACCTGTACTATACTAATTTTCTACCAGAACGCCTTCGGCCTTTGATAAACTTCTACAGTAACTTCATTATCCTCGTACACTTTCAATATACAAGACTTACAGCAGATTTGTGGGGTGGGGCTCCTGTTGTCCCCTCAAAGCATACTTACTCTTTTATGTCATAGTCCTGTATATTACCTATTGTACTGGTTCCTTAGAAATGTTGTATTCGTAGTGTCACGAAGTCCTGCAAACATTGGACATGATAAGTGTGGCAGGTAGAGTGAAGCAGTTGAGAGTGAAAAACGCTTTTAGGATTTTCGATGGGCTGTATCATAACCAAGAGTATCTTATAATTTTTTTTCCAAGGATTAGACATATGAACCGGCATGGAACTAGGGGATGTAAATACAATTTTATGGTACCTGGTGTCCGCGGTTAAACGAAAAAAAAACACCTTTACAACTAGAATAGAATTTGGAATGATTTACCTAACCACATTATACATTGCCAGTAATGTTATCAAAAAAATCAAAGGTAATACTAAAACATACGAAGCCGATGAAGGCAACAGCAAGAAAAGAGAGTTTCTATATTAATAACCACAGAATGATATACTGGACTGTTGAAGTGATCCATCAGCCTCGGATAGCCTAAGAACAATTTAATGCTTGTTATATTCAACCCCCCAAAAAATAATTTTAATTCTAGTTAATTCCAAACCAAGCCTAAGCAAAGGACCCTACTGTAAATAAACATCTAATAGCTTTCTTCACTGTCCTTGGTCAAATTGCCTTATTGTTACCAATTTTTGTATATCTACAATGTATAGGATACATTGGAGATTGTATACCTACCCGGTCTCTGTACTGTACACATTATACATGCTGAACTGTATACCTTGATTTTCTATGTGTATGCTGAACAGATTGTAAACTTGCATTACGATTTTACTGAATGAATATTTATATCTAAGATGTGTACAAGTCATCAATTATCCAATAATATATTATATATGGTTGGAGAAACTATAAAGCAAGTGAAAGGAATATTCGGCATTATATAATTGTGAATTTACTACACAATCAAGCATTTGAACTTAGAATTACTGAACGTTAGTCAGTGCTGGTAGTACGAAAATTAAATACAACTACAACATCCAGCTTGAGTTGAACCCTTTTTTTTTTTTTTTTTTTGGTAATAAGTGAATGTATCTTGGAATCATCTCAAATCTCGCATACACGCCACACAACGAGAGGCATTCAACGAAAATTGGACACACCTGAAACAACGGGGTAGCGTCACACTATGCCACTATGACGCTGTAACCGGTGACGACAACCGCCACTACAAAGAATATCAATCCCTGACTCGATCTCAACAGCTTATATACATGAGACTGCGCCTAGGGTACAGGTGCCTATGGGAGTACATTGGCAACCCTGAGCCTCACCGCACTGTTTGTAAACTTTGTGGCCAACCTGACTCTCACACCCTCTCTCACTACATCCTCACTTGTCCTATGACCTCCTCCTATAGGTCCCCAGCCGTTACCAACACCTCTTCCCTCCCAGACCAGATATCCCTCCTCCTAGTCACAGGCCTGGCACTAGGGACCTGCCACTCTTTGCCATAAACAAATAAAATGTACCGGGAACTTTCCCCCCCCACACTCATCATTCTCTCACTTTATGTAACTTGACAGAACCTATGACCCTTCAGGCTTTTACGCCCTTAATGTACGAGTCATAAAGGCAAGTATGAACTTTTCAGACTTCCCTGTTGGGCGCTGTAAACGCTTCTGCGCTTCACCTTGCACAGGATGTAAGGGGGTGCCCAATAAACTAGCCCCCTCGGGGGCAAATCTGAATCTGAATGTATCTTGGGCTACAGATTTTTCATTGATCGCATGCGTACTTTAATTTTTTGACGCCCTTAATCTCAAAATTAATTTAATGCGATATCAGCATATCAACTTTTTGAATATTTATAATAAAAACTATCTCCCCAAATTATCTTAATTGAATATCTGTTTCCAATGCGGAACTTCAGGTTTGTTGATAAACATGACGTCTTCTAGAAGTTCTACTCTAAATAGAACTTGTGATTCATTCTTCCGGAAGTTCTGGTATACGATTTTTTTAAAGGGAAAACAAAAGTGATAGCTATACTGATACTTCACCAAAATAAATTCGTTTGAAGACATTACACTGGATGGCGTCACATCATGTGCTCGTACCAGCTTGATGTACACACTCCACCCCCAGCTGTTCTGTGGCACTGTGTTAACGTTGCTGGTTGGATCTCACGTTTCTTTGGCTCGAATTTTATTTTCTATACAAAGGGTAAGTTTTTTGTCATTCGTAACTGTTGAGACTTCTTATATATAATAGAAGTAGCATTAATGTTGTGGTTATTGATACGGGATTGTGACCCAATGCTATTCTGAATACCGTCCTCATAACTGGTGGTTGGCGACCATCCTCTACTCGTAAAGTTCTCGGGCTGTTTTTACCAATCCCCCAAGGTTTTGTATCTCTGGGAATCCAATTTGGTATTATTTCAGTTTTGTACCACCATGGAATCTGGGATTTTTAACACATACAATAGATATATGTATATCTTATTCTGAGTAACTCATTCTACTGTATCCACTTCCGTCGCAAATTAATCATAATGTCGCTATTTATTTTTTTAAAATCCTTGACAATATTTATCACAAAACTTTCAAGAAAATGTACTGGGCTTTGAAGTAGAGGGAAAATGTAGGGTAAAATACTAAAAAAAACACCAAACAAATCTTTGAAAAACCTAACCTAACTTTTCCCTCATCTTTCAGGCCAGCCCATTACAGATGATTTATGATAATAATTAAAAGAAAAACGAAAAAAAAAGAGGAAAAGTTGTCGTATTGTGAAAGGTAAAGTAATATTAAATACTGTATATGCTATGCAGATGATACTGCTCTTATCTCCGATAGTAAAGAGGCCTTACAAAAATAACATCAACAGATTAGTGGAAAAAGGTGAAAATATGGTTTATAATTTAATGCTATAAAGACTAAAATCATGGTTGTTTCCAAATTGAAACTAAATGCTAAAATAAAAATTATGGTAGGCAACAGGTAAGTAACATTAGTTGTAATGGTAGGGGAAACAAAATCAGTATTTAATGATTCAAATGACCGAATGAAAAAAAGTCATTGACTTCAATTTGAGAAAAGGGCTGCTGAAAGGTTTTATATGGCAAGGACTGATGTATTGGGCAGAAGCGTGAACACTTTCAGCAGACACCAGAAAGAGGTTGGAGGCCTTTGAATTGTGCTGTTATAGGCGAATGCTATGAATAAGCTACACTGACTGAAAACAAATAAAGAAATACTAAAATTAGCAAAAACTTCAAGAGAAAAACTGAAAATGTACAGAGAGAAAAATGAGATACTTTGGTCATATAATTAGGGATGAGGGAAGGCAAAGACTGGGATGGATGGATGAAATTAAAAACTGGGTCCCCAGAGAGATATAAAACCTTGGAGAGGATTGGTAAAACCGGCCCGAGATCGTTTAGAGTGGAGGAGTGTGCTCACCAACCCTCAGATATGAGGGCGGCACTCTGATTGATCATTCAAACAACATCTCTTGAAAATATGAATGAATTCCATAGTCTTTGTCGGAAATTTATATTTGGTCACACAAGTGGGCAGGGCCTTGAAGTAGAGGGAAGTTGTGGGGTGAAAACATGCAAGAAGCAGACGAAACCAAACCTATCGACTTAATATCAGCATGCATGTCTAACCTAACCTATCACATTAATTAATAACATTCACATTTTGACACCCATTTTCTCTTTATACGACTGTAAACCTTTACTTGAATAAACAACTCTCGTTTTTACTCTTTTTTTTTTTTTAAGAATGCATATTTGTAGCTCTCATGTGGTCAAGATGGCTACTTAGGATGCACAGAGATGCATTTATGCTTTACTGTACAGTACCTGTACAATATTCACCATGTTCAATGTATTTATTATGTACTATTATTTTTGCAGGACGTATAACGGTGAAGTTTGTGAGAAACTTCCCCTGTTGAGCAATATTTTTACTGTTCACTTGTAAATAGAAAATAAAATTATTTTAAACTAAGCTTAATTTTCTTATACTGAAAACAAAACTTATTTTCGTTTCTTTACTAGAATTAACTTGGTACCTCATTAATTCACTTGATAACACTCGGTTATTAAAATTTAGATACTTATTTATGTATCACAAGTTAAAATTACCAGCAGCAGCTCAGCTGCACCTCACACATCATCATTTGATAAGCTGAATTCACCAGATTCTGGAAAAAATGGATACTTCAGTGGCCTCAGCACCACCAATTCTACCACCAACTGCTCCAACTTGCCCAGAACTACCTGCTTAGACATCTTGGTGTGGTGGAAATAGAGACTAGCAGGTGCTGTTGACAGAATGACTGTGCTGAAGAGAATGGGTGTGTGTAGGAGGATGTGGGAGGGCAGGCAGTGGGAGGCTAAAGCACGGTTGCCAACTCTGAATTTGCAGTCAGTACCAAATCCATCTTTATCAAACAGATTTTTCAATCCTAAATTTCCTTGAATTTTGTACAGTACTGTAATGGAAAATACCAAATGGAAACCCTGCAACTGAGCTCTAGGCTGGAGTGAGAACTTGCTCAACCAAGTTCGCTGACCCTGATATTCAAACGCTGCAGCCTTGGCTGTGAATTATGAAAATTTGAATGTGAAGTTTAAAAAAAAAGAGGTGGTGGTAATACAGAGGGCTGTATAGGTACCTGCGAGTGTACGTAAATAAATTTGGAAATCGTGAATTATCGCGACTCCACTGTTCAAGGGTTCTACCATTTGAATTTTTTTTCACTTAATGGATTTCCAGGATATCTATCCTTTCATACTGTATATCAAAGGATATCTGTACAGTACTGTGTATATTTTGGTGAAAGTAGGTCCCATTAGGGACAGTGTGGATACAACACACTGTATACTGTCCTAAGCCTTAGGTACAAGTAGAGGCAGCATGGCCAGTACTACACATGACTGCCTTTACTTCCCCAACTTGTAAACTATGGTCAACTGGGAGCACCCAGGAATTAAACCATCGATCCCTGGAACAGGAGGCGAGCACTGTTTCCGCTCGACTGCTGCGGCCCTATATATTTGCGTACCAATTATGTTACAGAAATACAGAATATTGGAAAATAAAAATAAAAATTAATTAGTGGTACATGTTTACACTAAATTAGTTATTAAATTCAGAGAAAGATTTTGATCACAGATAACTACTGTACTTAGCTATTTCTTAATATTGAAATAAAAATGGCAATGCTCATCGAGTGTGTACAGTACTTTACTGCACTAACTTTATTTCAGAATTGAAGTACAGTACTGTACCTGTACTATGAGATATTAACCTAACAGTTTAACACCTGATTTGTGATACTGTGTTGAAAAGATAACATAAAACTTCTAATCTATCAAATAGAATCCATATGTCTGTAGTTTGTTTATAACTTATGCTTTCATTGTGTTCATATACTGTACTGTATAATGTAGTATACCGTAATGGATTGGGTAATGGGTCTTTGTACACACCCTCTAGAAATTGTTGATGAACTTGACAAGATGCTTGATTCTGGAAATCTTGGTGGTAAAGTGCAGTCAGCCACTTAACATAAACTCTTTACATTTCGTAATGAAATTTATTATATTAGACTAGAGTAGCAACAGAGGAATAACTAGTGGATAAACAGATTTATTATGACCTATCTTGAAAGGATACTGTACAGTACGTACTGTACTTTTTTATTGTTTGATTATTTCATTATGGAGTGCTATCTCTTAGCATGATAATGATGTGTCCCACTTAATTTAGATCGATGTAGAAATTCCAAAATGATTTATTACACTTTTCTCACAGTTTACAAAAATTGCTTACCATGCAAGTGTATAGGTGGCTCATTGAATGTTGAATAAAAGATGGCCGATCAAACTCCATGTTTGTTGATAATGTCATATTATAAACCAGTGCTTTTTTCCAGATATCTTTTGTAATCATGAGTATCCTGGCCAAAGGAGGTACTGAGGGGCCTGGCTTCATTGGAATCCGATTCTGTCAAGAATGCAACAACATGTTATATCCCCGAGAAGACAAGGTGGCTAACTTTTGAATTATTGAAGACTATATTTTTTTGTGTTTAATTGTGCTGTTTCTGTAATTGTACAGTTTGCCCTTGTTAATGTTGGCTGTTGTGTTCCTATAAAAGGTTGGTACTGTTTAATCAAAATCTGTACAGGGGGTCCCTGGGTTACGAACGGGTTCTGTTCCTGAGGACGCTCTGAAGTTGGATTTGTACATAAGCTGGAACACATGCTATTTGCATACGTATTTACAAAACAATTTTTAAAATCCCACTATATCATAGCCTAAGTCCTAACATACAACTAAAATCGCTTAATTTTTAGACAAAAGAAATATTGACAAAATACAGTAAATGAAAGTAAAAAATATTTCATCAGGTAAATAAACTACTGTAAATTTCAAGTTTAACCCCGTTCGTATCGGTGGGCATTTGTAAGTCGGACTGTACAGTAAAAACAAAGAAAGTTCCTGAGTGAATAAGAATTTCTTTCCCAACCACAGCCCTGTTTTGATTATTTTATTTTATTTTAGTGTTTACTCTGTTTGTGGTCTAGAACGTAATACAGTAGAAGTACTTTTCTATAATTCTGCTACTGAATGATGATTTACTATCTTCAACACCAAAAATTGTGAAAATATATTTAATGTTTTAGTGCCTAAATGACTTTTACATTATTGAGAACTGGCAGCAGACTCCAAATACTGTACAGTATGACTCTTAAAAGCTAATCATCATACTAGAATTTTTTTATACTGTTAGAAGCACTATGATACATACCCCTGGAACTGATCCTTGTGGCATCATTGCCAGCCAGAGTACTGACTACAAATATCTCTTTCCTGTACTGTTTTGTACAGTTAAGAGATATATGGAACTGTAATTCTAACAGTATAAAAAAATTCTAGTATGATGATTAGCCCTTTAAGAGTCATACTGTACAGTATTTGGAGTCTGCTGCCAGTTCTCAATAATGTAAATGTCATTTGGGCCTTTTTGACTACAGAAAATATCCCAAAGTTTCCATATTTGATATTGAAATTGGTGTAAAGCTGTGGTTTAGTGAAAATTTGGGGTTTTATGAAAATGTATTATAAAAAGATATGGTACTGTAAGTTATTGTACTTGATCAATATTGAACTTCATTTAATAATGGTCCAGTTTATTCATATATATATATATATATATATATATATATATATATATATATATATATATATATATATATATATATATATATATATATATATATATATATATATATATATATATATATATATATATATATATATATATATATATATATATATATTGTCTTTTTCCTGCTTACAGTATAATGAAAGCTTTTTGTGTAAAAAGTCATTTCCATCCATTGCATATTTTCAGCCTTTTGCCTGCCATAACTTTTTCAATAAATAAACTGTTAATTATTATTATACACACATGCACACAGCCAATAAGTACTCGTATACTGTATGCATATAAATAAATATCATGTAATCATGGATAAAATAATAGTGTACTGTATATTAAAATGATGAACACAGTATTTCACAGAGGAGGCTTTTCTGTACAGTCATTGCAAAAGAATGTGGTCTGCTTTCACTTGTAATCACCTTTTCCATTTTTGTACATTGACTAAATATTATAGAGCGTTTCTGTATACTTTGCAATTTGGCTTGTGCTTTTTTATATTCATACGAAATATAGTACTAACATTATTCCTAAGTAAAATTTTAACATGATAGCAGTACAGTATAGCTTATCTCTAGGTTCATCAGTGAATATAGACCAAGAGAACAAATCCGCATCATTGATTGCCTTGTACAGTATAGGCTCATTTTTCTTTGGATTTTGGATAGGTATTGTAATTTAGGCATGGAAGCATTTATTTTTCCAATCTTGAGTGAAAGCAGCCAGTTGCCTATAGGTTTAGGAATAACGTAGCTTAGCGGAAATGTTTATATCTACTCTGTTAATTTAAAAGTATTAAAACATTTCAGGAGAACAAGATCTTGCTGTATGCCTGTCGAAATTGTGACTATAAAATGCCAACCGAAAACAATTGTATTTATGTCAACAAACTTATGCATGAAATTGATGAGCTACGACACATCAACCCAGAAGTTGTACAGGTAAGTGTTCTAATGCTGACAAAGGGGTTCTTAGTACCTCATTAATGTTTTCAGGCTACTGCTATAAAATTTGTTGGTGTTAGCTTATTTTTAATTCCTGGCCGATTATCTTCATACATTACTTTCATTTTATTTTCAAAACAATATGAATACAGGTATATTGCATTATTTATGGCTAACATCCTTCACTAGATGACCGGTGAAACCAATTTTAATCGTTAAGACATCATAGACCGAGACCAAATCCAGAAAAGGATCTTTACAAGCGACAGTTACCATCACAAGTGGGAAGCAACACATCACAAGTGCCATGTTAGGTGACTCTTAAATTGATAGCCATACTGATTGGGATAGTCTGGCATCAACCCATTCAGCCCCATTCTAGACACTGCCATACAGGTTCATGGTGGAAACCCATAGATGTGTAAAACTTTATAATTATTTATTTTAGCACCACTTTCTGTATGTAAATTTGTGTGTATGTAACCGAGTAAAAAAAACCGCATGTCTACCTGAAATTACAAGTTAAAAATATTTTATACCTTATGAGAATTGCCGATACAGTCGGCCCTTAACATACGCAGGGGTTACGTAACAGAAATACCCGTGGATGTTAAAAATCCGCGTATTTTTGCTCCCCCACCCCACCTCCCCCCCCAAAAAAAAAACCCTGGCCCCCCATGTCTTATTTACCGTATATACCTGTGTGTAGTTCGAGTTTTTAAGACCAAATTATTTGGCAAAAAATTGGGGGTCGACCTCTAAACGGGTAATAGTTTCGTTAGGTTGAAAAATATTTACCAGTAACTACCAGTAAACAATGGAAATGATGCACCAATGCACCACCAGCTGTGAGTGTTGGTACAGTTGCCAGGGCAGATCTCTTGCGTCATCATAGCAAGCCCAAAGTAGCCAAATCCATGGTATGGTAGCACAGGATGATGTAAAACATAAAGTATTCATTTATTAAAGTGTATTTATAGATACTGTACATAAATTTTTGTTCATTACATTTGAAACATCAATCTTTGTTAATTAAATTTGAAACAAAAGAAAACTACGATACCGTATTTTCATTAAAATATTACATCACAAGTATATTTTACCTTAACTGTGACTGAATGAATATATTCTCGGAAATAAATATGGAAATGTAATATTTTTGCTGGAATGACGTACATATTACAGTGGAAAGTGGGATAAAATCATGACAAAAACAATGACTTTCGCTTTCTTTCGTTGTTCAAAAGATTTTACCGTAATCGCTTTTCGAACGGTTTTCAGTTAAAAAACTGTTGTACTCGTACTGTATTACAATAATATTCTATCCTATCATTAGCCTTATAATCCCACAACTGAAAACCATTCGAAAAGCGATTACGGTATCATCTTTTGAATGAAAGAAAAAGAAAGTCATTGCTTTCGTCACAATTTTATCCCACTTTCCAATGTAATACGTACATCATTTCAGCAAAAATATTACATTTCCATGTTCTCAGAAATAAATGGTAGTTTTGTTGAAACGCAATGTACAATATTTAATATTAAAATGCAAAAATAGCTATAAAAACAATTAAAACACCCGTAATGTACTGGCTGGCATTTCCACTCGTCCCTGCTCCCGCCAGTCACCTCCTCCCCGCTCTATCCCTCCGCCTCCTCCACATCGTCACTACTGTTGTATTACAATAATATTCTATCCTAATTCACCTGAATAAATACTACGATACCATATTTCTGAATATTTTCATTAAAATCCATCAAAATAATTTTCCTTGTCATCGTCTTCAACACCAAACAGCTCCTCCCAGTCTTCTTCTTGAACAGGGCTAGAGGGTACGTGTTTTTTTAATCATTTTCAGTTAAAAAAAATGTTACATCACATGTATATTTTACCTAAGCTGTGCCCGAATGAATATATTCTCAGAAATAAATAGTAGTTTTGCTGAAACGTGATGTATTTCAATGTAAAATAGGATAAAATGCATGACGAAAACAAAAGACTTTACCTAACTTTCCGATGTTCAAGAGATGTTACTCGTTTTTATAATAGTTTTCGGTTAAAATACTGTTATATTACAATGATATTCTATTCATACTGTGCTTGATATAATGCATTCACGGAAATGTAATATTTTTGCTGAAATGACGTACATATTCCAGTGGAAAGTGGGATAAAATCGTGACGAAAACAATGACTTGCTTTCTTTCGTTCAAAAGATGTTACCGTAATCGCTTTTCGGATGATTTTCAGTTAAAAAAACTGTTGCATCACGAGTGAATTAGGATAGAATATTATTGTAATACAAAAGTTTTTTTAGCTGAAAACCATTCGAAAAGCGATTACGGTAACATCTTTTGAACGAAAGAAAGCGAAAGTCATTGCTTTCGTCACTTTCCACTGTAATACGTACGTCATTTCAGCAAAAATATTACATTTCCATATTCTCAGAAATAAATAGTAGTTTTGCTGAAACGTATTGTATTTCAATGTAAATTAGGATAAACTACATGAAAACAAAAGACTTTACCTAACCTTCCGATGTTCAAGATATGTTACTCGTTTTTTTTAATAGTTTTTGGTTAAAATACTGTTATATTAGTGATATTCTATTCATACTGTGCTTGATATAATACATTCACGGAAATGTAAAATTTTTGCAACTACAATGCTGATGTCAACACAAGCGTGGTTACAGAGAGACTGACTGAGTGAGGGAGAGCTGTGTGTGTGTGTGAGGTTGCGGGAATGGGCGGTGTCCTGTGTTCGGTGCCGCGCGCGGGTTGAATGTACTTTAATGAACAGAATATTACTCCGGCGGGGCAATCCACGTATTTGCAAATCCGTGTATGCTAAACCCGCGTATGTTAAGGGCCGACTCTGTGTGTGTGCGTGTGTGTGTGTGTGTGTTTTTATTTTTTTTTATTTTTGCTCTTTCTGTATGTAAGATTAAGTGTGAATGTAATTAAATAAAAAACATGAAAAGTACGGTATATATATATCTACTGAAAATTACAAGTTAAAAATTAACCATAACATCGAGCTCGCAGGTGGGGTGTGGTTAGAAATATCCCTGCTCGGCCAAGGGAACTCATGGGAGAGTATCCGTATAGTTGGAAATCCGTAGCCAGGGGAGTGTCTGTACTGCATGTGGAAAATTAAATTAAAGAAAATGACATTATTCTGTATTATTAAATTTCATATGCTAATTATGTACAATAAAGGTGTACAGTAGAGTTGTAAAATAAAATGTGGAATTTGGAAATGAAGAAATGTTTGGAGGTGTGGTTGTTGTTGGTGGTGATGCATGGATACTCTCCCATACGTTGACTGAGTTGAGGCACTGGAGTCTGGTTAACTGGCAGATTCAAGTAACTGACACCAAAATGAAATAAAAATAAAATTTTCTCTAAAATTGGCTAAAATCGTAAGTTTGAATACCAAGCGCAATGGGGGTGAACTACCATATTTATTGCCATGGTAAACATTAAAATCGATGCATAGTAAATTGTAAAATAGCTCATATTTATGGTTAAAAAAAAAATATCTCATTCTACACTTTAACCACCCTCTGGGCTTTGCAACACAGTTCAGCCAGGCAGTAAATGAGCAGACTCTCAGACTTGTGGCTTCTGTGCTGTGTGTATGCCATATCATATCAGGAGGGAGTGCTGTGCCATCCATGCTCTTCATATTTCTTATTTTCTTAGTTTTATATTACATTCTCTTATTTTTTCCAAGCCACATTTAAGTTGTACTGTATTATAATGATTTGTCCTCAACTTTTATAGTTTCATTACATGTAACAATATATGAAACGACTGGACAGGTGAGTCAGCGACGCAGTTATAGCCCACCACCTCCACAAACATTCGGTTCTCACACTTACACAACCACGCTCTTAATTTTTATTATTTTATAGTTTTATATTACATTTTATTTATTTCTAAGCCACATCATTTATATAGAGTGGAATAAGTGTTAAAGAAGTCCATTTTTTTGAGACAAATTTGCAAGGTCATCCTGTAGCACTGTGCATTGTAGGATTTATTGGGGGATCCTAAGAGTGAGGTTCAACTAACTGGAAAATCTCTCTATCCGGCACCTCTCAGTCCTCATAGGTGCCGGATAACCAGGATTCTACTGTAAAATGAAACCCTTTATTTTCAATCATTCCGCTTTAACTTGCACAAATCAGAGACACCAATCTTAATTATGATAATATATTACTTCAGTCTATTTAGCTGTACTGCAGACCCAGAGAAAACAATTGAAGTGATTTTGCCTTCACTAATTTGTTTATTAGAGTAATATTCATCATACATTCTGAAAAGAGGATCTCAGTAGGAGGTAAAAATAAAAGTTAATTTTATGGTTGACTATTCACTATGGGAAGTACTGTATAATGAGTCCACTTTATAAGAGGGCAGTACAGTACAGTACTTCCTTAATATGTTAATGCTAAGTTCTATTAATAAAAGATAAATCCTGCTTACTATTCCTAACTGATTTAGAATCTTACTTGTCACTTCATGATGCCTTGTAGGTCATAAATGAAAAATGAAATCCCATTTTATTATGAATACAAAGCAATAAGTGACTGGGTGTTCCCTTTTATCTCTTTAGGGGATCAGAAATGAGCTGGAATTAAGAAGATTGGTGTATGAACTTATGATGGCGTAGAGTTGCTTAAATATAAAGTAGTACAGTACTGTACCGTATATGTATTTCAAGTTTGTCATGTTTTTGTTGACCAAATGTGCTTTTGGTTGCTGGTCATTGTGATTATGTTGAAACTGAAGCTATAAAAGTAAAATGCTTTTTGTCATGATAAAAATTAAATAATTTTACTATTACTCTTCCCAAAGGACCCCACATTGCCTCGCACGGATGACCATCCTTGCCCTCGCTGTAACTCACGTGATGCCGTGTTCTTTCAAGCACAGACAAGGAGAGCTGAAGATGAAATGAGACTGTATTATGTCTGCTGCAATACAGAATGTACCCACCGCTGGACTGAGTGAATTACTAGTATTTTAGGATTGTTTACCATATACTCAGCTTATTTTGTCTACATATATAGGGTAGTTAGTTTTATGTATGTTGTCACAGGAATGGGGTCAAATATGTATGCCCAAATACAAATAGAATATAAATACAGTACTGTAATCCAGAAAAAAAATCAAATATTTATTTTTGGACTCCATCTAATACAATTAATTCCAATTACAAATACCCTGTATAGAGGTACAGTACAGTTGTTTTACCCTAATTTTGGAATTGTTTTCCAGGCTCTACTTCCAGCTTTATGGCTTAAATTAAATATAATTGGCCATATTTGTCAGTTTAAAATTTCATACCATAATTATCTCCTGTAACATTAATAAATATTGATGCAATTTAATTTAGGTAATTTTTTTTTGTGTGAGTGAATGCCTACACAATGGTCATGAGGCACAATATTCTATTTCTTTTTCCCATTTGATGTGCTCGTAGGCTTGTGCCTGGAGTTGTGTTGTATTTTTTATGTATACATTGAATTTCTATGCTCTCCGAGCTAAATTAAAATAATTTAACAACTATCAAGGCTCTCGAGGAATTTAACCCCATACATTGGATGACTCAACTGATGGTTGGGGCTCTTGATTTTTTGGGGGGGATCTCATGTATAGTGAAAAATAAAGCCAGTTTGAGTAAGTATACAAAATTATCACAGGTATAGTAATTGTACTGTATTTGAAGCAAATACAGTACAGCAAATAAAAGTATCAAATGCAAATGAAATACAAAACTTTAATTTCTTTCCAAATACCAAATTTTCTGTACTGGCCATCCAACATTTTTAGATAATGTTCATCCAAACATTAAGGTTGTGTACAGTCACGTTCAAGATTCTTTGAACACTGCTGGAGACAGCTGGCAACTGAAGGCCGTTTGTTTACTATAGTACGTAGTGCAGTATAATATATGAAACAACTAAGATCAACCATTAATTAAGCAACGGGGAACTAATTAACCAATCACCGATCACTTTTACATTTGTTCATAATTTTTACTCCGTACTATAGTAAGCAAATGGACTTGAGTTGCCAGCTGTCTCCAGCAGAGTTCGAAGAATCTTGAAGGAGACTGTACCTACCCCTAAATGCATCATCAGTTTTACAAATGATGGACCAGGGAGTTATTGCTTCATTTAAAGCACATTTTCTGAGAAGGACATTTTCTCAAGCTATCAGAGCAACAGAACAAAAAGAGGATAGGACTTTAAAGGAATTTTGGAAGTCCTACAGCATTTCTGATGCTGTGAAAAGCATTGCAGATTAATGGGACGAGGTAATAGAAACCAACATGAATGGTGTTTGGAAAAAACTCTGTCCACAGTTTCAGGGGCTCTGAAGATAATGTTGGTGGAAGTGACAACTCCAGCCTGTTATTCATGAGGATGATGTCACATAGTTGCTCGAGTCTCATGCTGAAGAATTAAGCAATGAGGACCTGATTGAACTGGAGAAGCAAATTTTGTCAGAGGCTGTAGAGGAAGGTGAAACTCCCGAACCAAAGCGATTTGTTACAAAAAAAAAAATGGCAGAAGGTTTCAGGCTTATTGAAGGATTGTTTAAATATGAACAGGAAGATACCAACACAGCAAGATTTACTAAGGTTCATAGAGGTATTACTGAATATCTACAATGCTACAGAGATATTTATGAGGAAAAGAAGAAAGTTTCAAATCAACCATCCCTTGAAAAGTTTTTTAAGAAAGTTGAAAGGCAGCCCAATCCAGTCCCATCAACCTCTGCAACATCTACAGAACCAGTCCCCAGCAACTCCAGAACCAGTTAATTCTATCTTACCATATTCTCCAGAACCAATTCTGTTAACATCTACATCATCATCATCTTCAGCTTTGTCCCAATAAAGCCTGTTACTCCTACAAATGCCCATCTCTACATTCAAGCCAGCCCCAGCTTTTAATACAAGTGTTGAATTTTAATTTTTACTTTTCTTTACTGTATTTTACCATTAAAGTTCTTCTTTTCTCTTAAATTAACTGATTCAAGATGTATGAAAGGACTTGGGCTATGATATAGTACACATAGGGTATGTATTCTGACTTAGTATGTGCTTTTCCAACTTAAGGACCGCCTCAGGAACAGAACCCATTCGTAACCCGGGGACCACCTGTACCTACAATATACTAAGCACAAATTACACTCTGGACATACAGTCAGCTAAAAGATTGTCCTTCCTTTTTATGTGTGGTATTTCTAGATTAAATTGCTGCAACATGAGTGACCATCGCATTAGTCTCCGATTTCGATTTTTCATCTTGTCCAAAAATTTGAGTGGGTTGTGATTGCTATACACACGCACTGGGTAAACAACATGACACAAATATACATAAAAGTTTTCCAAAGCAATCATCAGTGCAAGCAATTCTTTTTCAATTGCTGAATAGTTTTTCTGGTGTTTCTCGAGTCTGGAAGATAAATAACACACAGGGTGGAGTACGTTATCAGCAGATCCAGCTTGAAGTAATACAGCACTGGTTCCATTATCACTGGCATCAATGTGCAGACAATAGTGCTTTTCAAAATGTGGGGTCTGTAACACAGGAGCACTGGACAGCAGTGACTGAACTTACTCAAAGGACATTTGGCACTCTGGGGTCCACTTGAACTGCTTCTTAGGGTTGGTTACGTCTGCGAGGGGCGCTGTTACCGGTCTGAAGTTTGGGCATTTGGGCCAAACCTGCGGCAATATCCTGCCATTCCTAGGAAATGCAGGACAGATTTGTGGTGTGCAGGCCGTGGTAACTGCTGAATGGATTCTATTTTTGCATCAACAGGTGCAAGTTTCCCAATAAAGACCACAGTGTGTGTCCAATTTCAGTCTTGGTGAGATTGACGGTTAACTTCGCATAATCTAACCCAGTGAAGAGGGCCTTCAGTCTGAATATGTGTTCTTCCCAACTGGACAATACCACCACCAAGTCCTCAAAATATGCTTGTACCCCTTCCAAACCTGTGATGACAGTTGACGAGATGCCGGAAGGCGGCAGGGGCATTACACACACCAAATGGAATGACACATTACTGGTGAAGGCCATCTGGAATTACGAATGCGGTTATCTTCTTTGTCCTCTCCGTCAACTCCACCTGGTAGTATACTTCGAGTAAATCCAACTTCGTGACGAATTCTGCTTTGCCGATACCATTGATATCATCATCCAGTCTGGGTAGTGGAAAACAGTCAGGAAGGGTGATAGCGTTGACCTTGTGGTAATCAGTGCAAAGCCTTCGACTACTGTCAGGCTTCGGCACCAGCAAGCACAGCGACGACCATTCACTGTTGCTCGGCTCCGCCAAACCATAAGAGAAGGAAGTCCACCTCTTGCAGCTTCTTTGCCTTTGTGGTGTTCATCTGGTAATAGGGTTGTTTGATAGGAGATGCACTATCAACCAGGAGGACATAGTGTTGGACGATCAGGGCCGTGGGACATCCTGGCAGATCCCTCGGAAGTCGTCGAGTAAACCCTTCAACTCCATGGACTGCAAGGGTGTCAGATGCTGCAATTAAAACTCAATTTTAGCCAAAATGTCACGATTACATAACTTGACAGGCTGGTCCAGGCAGTAATCTTCAGGCACAACTTTATTGTCTGGCACTTGATCCTGGATTAGCCATGCCTCTGATTCTCTAATGTGATATGGCTTCAGCAGATTGACATGAACCAGACACTCAATTCTCCTATGCTCAGGGGTTTCTACCACCAGATTTACATCATTAATTTTTTTCTTAATCTTATAAGGATCAAAATAACTTGACTGCATGGAGTTTTTCGCCAGAGGTAGGAAGAGTAGCACTAGTTCTCCAGGACTGAAGGTCCGTTCTACTGCCTGTCAAAATTTTCATTCATAGTAGCGTGAACATATTTTAAATTTTTCTGTACAAACTTATGAACATGATTTAATCTAGTCTTGAATCTCTGTATGTATTTAAGTAGTGGCATACTTTCCCCTTCTGTCAACCAACTTTCTTTCAACATTTTGAGTGGTCCTCTGACTTCGTGTCCAAATATAAGTTGAAAAGGGGAATAACCCAAGGACTCCTGTTTACTCTCGTAGAAGGCAATGAGCATTAAGTGAACACCTTCATCCCAGTCTTTATCCTCGTTCATACAATATTTCTTTAACATTCCTTTGAGCGTTTGATGGAACCTCTCTAAAACACCTTGTGATTCAGGGTGGTAGGACGTGGAAGATATTGTTTCACTTTTAGCTCACTAATCACCTGTTGAAACAGACCGGATGTGAAATTGGATCCCTGGTCAGATTGAATGCTACCAGGAATTCCGTACTGGGTGAAGAACTTAATGAGAGCTTTAATAATGATCTTTGCAGAAATATTTCTTACAGGAACAGCTTCAGGATATCAGGTTGTTACACACATAATAGTGAAGATATTGATTCCAGCTTTTGTCTTAGGGAGAGGCCTGACACAGTCGATAATTATGTGAATAAAAGGTTCATTAACAACATGAATTGGTTTTAGGGCTGTAGGGGGAATAACATTATGTATTAGGTATACCCACCATCTGACAAGTGTGACATGTTCGACAGAAATTTGACACATCCTTTCTCATCCCAGGCCAGAAGAAATGCCTCAGTAGCTTATTATATGTCTTATTTACACCTAAATGACCTCCAGGAAAATCATGTGCAATACTGAGTACATCATGCCTATATGAAGTAGGAATCACTATCTGGTGGACTAGGGTACTTCTGTCATCTGCAGGAGTATCAATGGGCCTGTACGTCCTCATGAGTAGATCATTATTTAAATAACATGTTCCACCTGGTGCCTCTTTTTCATCAACAGCAAGACTAGATAGTGAACAAGTTATTTATCTTCCCTTTGAGCTTTTATGAGATTATTTCGTGTTAAGGGAATACAGGAGTATTTTGAATTTCTTTTTCATTGGAAAGGTCTCTAACCTCAAGCAATTTACTAATACCCAATCCACTGTTATCTGAATCACTGACAGTTCACGTCAACTCCTCAAGGGTGGAACTTGCCCATCACGTGATCTGACCACGTCACCTCATAGCTAGTGGAAAATTACAGGGGGTGATATGATTATATAACGTCTATATACTTTCCCCATATTTATATAAAGGCTTAGGGGCTAATACACGCCTCTGGGACAAAGTTATAAGATTGAAGGATCGCATCTCTAAGTTTAATGTAATCTTGGCAAGTCTCTTTAGGCAAACTAGTGAAGAATTTTTGTAGCTTTCCCTACAAATACTGTTTGAACCATGAATGACCAACCCTCTATAGGCCATTGCAGACACTCCGCAATCTTCTCAAATTGTATAAAGAACTCATGAGGAACTCTCTCATCGAAAGTAGGAACTTGTCTAGACTGACTGCTAACATCAAAATTATTCTTCTCCCCTTTTCTCAACTGTAGTTCTAATTCTAGTTTCCTCAATTCATGTTCTCTTTTTTCCCTGGGGTTCCTCTCTGTCTCTGGGCTTCCTCTTATCTCCGTTTGTTTCAAAATAACCAAGGTCGA